AATTTTACCTTTTGAATCTTGACACGAAAAGGTGAATTCCCTGACTCGATTTTAAAACATTGGTCGTCATTAACTACCTTTCCAACCTCTCACGTGGATTCTGAGTGTCATTGTAAATGTGGCTATGCCAGTTCTGAAGGAATGGAAGCTGGATCCAAGTTGGTATGGGAATTGAAACAGCCACAGCACCCTAGCTACCTCGTCTTAAGATTTGGACTTCCATTTTAAAAGGTCAACCTTGTTAAAATGATTAGTTCAATCCTTTATGAGATGGTCGATACTTTCATCTTTATTTGATGTGAGATTTTATCCATTAACATGCCCTGCAAGGTGATAACTCGTTTGAGTAGATCATCTTAAAATCCGTGTGCTCATTTTTTAAGTCTTAATCTGATCGAATTGCTTATTTAAGTTTAATGGACTCTGATCTTAAAAGGTCAACATTGTTAAGATAAATAGTTCAATCATTTATAAGTTGGTCTATGCTTTCAACTTTATTTGATATGGAATTTTATACCTTGACACCTCGAAAAATTCCCTAGCAAGTGGCAATCCATTTCTTCTCCTAGCAAGTGGCAATCCATTTCTTCTCACCAGGACCCTGTAAGAACTGTTAAGGTTTATCGACCACTTTGTAATAGAACGGACACAAAAACCTGAAACGATATCAATTAACTGATCAACAATTCATCGACCAGAATTTGATTTGTACCGATAGTGTTAGTGATGTTCTTTAGTAGTTAGGAAAAAAATGTGGGAGGAAGGAAAAAATGTTTGCAGTAACTGAGGTTCAAAGAAAACGTCATTTTTTTAACAGTACTCCCAAGTACTATAATTCTCTTTGTAATTCTTCTCTCTACTAATTGCTCTCCGTATCCGGACCGTTTCTTTGCTTGTCTCAATTATAGTTTATGGTTACAAACACATTACTTTCCAACCAGATATTACTTAAAACTTATTTCTTTTTCCTATTCTCACTGGCATCATACTGACTCCAAGAAATGTGAAACACTAATATTTGAAGTTATTTTTTACTTACAGAACATGAAATAATTCAGGGATCTCTTTATTGATTTATTTATCATACTGGAAACCTTATACGTTGAGGAACAGAAGGTCATGGGTCTGCAGCCGATATTGTTTGCACTGTTGCACGTTCAGTATGGATTAAATAGTACAACGAACAAGATTTCAACTGTTTATTCCTTCCTTAGTACCTATTTGTCAACCATTATTGAGAA